CGTCAAAGGCTGCACGGTCGATGAGGTCCCATTGCCGGGTGATGCGGGAGATGCGCAGGCAGTGCTCGAGGTTTGCACTGGCAAAGATGAGATGCTCCCCGTTGAGGTACACGTCCAGCCGCTGCGCCCCTCCGTGCGCCAACGGCACTCCTTTCAGGCCCGGCAGCGTGCCACCACCACCAACGCGAGACGTGCGTGCACTTGCGTTGTGCGCGGCAGCAAGCACCGCCTCCACCGCAGGCGCCGGTGGCCGTGCCGGTGGCTCACTACCACCGCGACGTTGCTGCTGTTCGTGCATCTGGTGATGCTGTTTGTTGGAGGCAGTCATATCTGGCTACTGTTTGTGGTGTTTGAAAGAAGTGACACATCATGGCAAATTTTCTACAATTGGTGCCACCAACAACAACTGCGACGATGAGGACTTTGTTGTCGCATCTGAGGATGATGCAGCAGCCCTGGTGGCAGAGATGGAGGATGAGGAGCGATGACACCTGCGCAAGAAGGCAAAGAGGCAAGGGGCGGCGCCTGCTGCTGCTGCTGCTGTGAAGGTGAAAAAGAGGACCCCGAAATACCTGCCACCCGAGGAGCTGTGGATGGAGACATGCGCCATTTCCGGAAGCTGCGAGGCCGTGGAGCGCTGTCCGAGCGCGAGTGTCCCCTGGTGCTGCACCTGCACACGTTTCTCAAGCACGAGCACGAGATGGAGAGAGCAAGGAGGAAGGCGGCACGCACAGGTGGCAAGATGGCAACAAGAGACGCCATGCTTGGGTGTTCAGCGGCAACGGTGAGGCAGCTGCTGAGCAAGTGGAATCGGATGAAGCGGGAGGCTGGCAAGCGCCCCAACAGCCTCAACATCACCAACAACCGGGGCACAAGCGCAAAGCCACAGCGTGTCCCGTCCACGGGGCGCGTGACCAGGCTTGTCAGAGACTTCACCACACAAGCGCAGAGCAGCGGCCGGGTCATCAATGCCACGCAACTCACGAAGCACCTCATTGAGAGCGGGGTGCTGTCTGTGAAGGTGAACCCACTCACGAGCCAGCCGGAGCACAGAGACCTCCAGGCCGCAAGGAGGGCCACACAGCGGTTCTTGGTGCGATTCGGATACTTGCAAACTCAGGGTAGGGATGAGAGAAAGGCACGACCGACAACCCATCTCGACAAGCTCGCCGACTATCTCCACACCTTGTTCAAGATCCGCAACCAAAAAAAAAAAAAAGCGGTCCGCTTTTTTTCAAACAGCCTCCTGAGCAACAGCTGCGCGAGGTGCGTGTGTGTGTGTGTGTGTGGGGGGGGGGTCTGTGTGTGTGTGTGTCTTTGTCTGTGTCTTTGTCTTTGTCTGTGTGTGTGTGTGTGTGTTTGTGCACCGATGAATCTACTCGCCACCTCGCCACCTCGCCCCCTACTCGCCTCCTCCTCGCCCTGCACGCGCCGCCTTTTGTCAGTCGTGCTATCCTAATACGTTACGTGTCACTTCATGACGTGCGTTACAGGTGTATCTGGACGAAGCGTACGTGCAAGCAGCAACCAACGACAGCTCTGTTCGGCTGTCCACCCACGATCCCAGTCACCAAACAGATGCTGCTGAGCACGTGAAGATCACGAAGACGAACGGCCCTCGCATGCGTGTTGTGCTGGCCATTCAGAACCGCGACCCACGCTCCGCCGACCCCTCGCAGCCGTGCACACCGCAGCAGCAGGCAGGCATTGTTGACGGCACAGCATGAGTGGCTGATCCTGATGAGGCGAAGCGACGGAAGGGAGAGGGCGGTGATCCGACGACGAAGAACAGGAAGAAGAGGAAGGCGAAGATGATGACGCTGATGACGATGATGCAAAAGATGAACGAGCGGAGTGATTCCCACACGACTGATGATAGCAAGGCCGTCGATGCGACGAGCTTTCGCCAGTACTGGTTGTCCCAGCTGCTCCCGAGCCTGCGCCAGCCAAGCCTCATCATCATGGACCACGCAGCACACCGCAAGCTCTTCCCTCTGCACATCCCACACGTCGCGACCGCAAGCAAGGCGGACCTGCTCGGGTTCCTGACGGCGCCACCGACGGGCGCCGAGACAGTGGAGGAAGCTGTGGCGGAGATTGGGACCGGGACACCATTGACACTACAACCAGTGGCATCAACACGTGGTGGTGATGTTGGTGGTGAAGGTGATCGTGGTGGTGATGGTGAACGTGGTGGTGATGGTGAACGTGGTGGTGGTGAAGGCAGTGACGACGACGATGGAGTTGCAGGCAGCAGCAGCAGCAGCGACAGCGGTGATAAGCAGCAGCGGGTTGTGGAGGCTGATGCCAGTAGCCATGAACGCAAACGGGTGCGCGTGCCGGGTGCTGGGCCGCACATGCACGTGGACACGCTGAGGCGCCTCGCGAGCAAATGGATCAGGGCACACTGCGTGCCGGAGCTTGTATCGCTGGCGCGGCAGCAAGGCCACGAGGTTGCCTTCACGCCGCCACGCTACTCGGACCTGCAGCCGATGGAGCTGGTGTGGGCTCTCCTCGGGGCACGCATGGCCCGGCAGGACGCATCTTGCACAGCCACGTCCGATGTGAGGCAGCGGTTATTGTGCAGCATCGGTGACATCTCCAAGGCCTGCAGCAGAGGTGCCCGCACCATCGTACAGGCGCTCATTGACCACGCGGACAAGACGGCGATACAACAACGCGTCATGTTGTTTGAGAGTGGGACATCTCATCAGGCACCGCGCACCACCGTGTCATCGACGTTGTCCCCTTCACAGCCCGCCGCACACAGCGAAGCGCCCTCTCAACCACACGTTGCACCCGAAGCACAGCCCGCACCAGTGCAACACCACCAGCAGCAACATGATGGTGGTCGTGGCGCATCCAGTGTGGAGGAGCTCCAACGAAGAGCGGATGCCTTGCTCGACGTCATCCTCGGCGAATCAACGACGACGACCACGACCACCACCAATGCCATCACCAACATCACTACTGCTGCTGGCGTGGACACTTCAAGGGCCGGATTGGACGCGGTTGACGGCCTGGCGGAGGCTGCAATGCAACTGCTGTTGGAGGAGGACGTGCCACTGCAGGCGGAGGGGGATGATGGTGATGATGATGAGGGTGATGATCATGGTGATGATCATGGTGATGATGGGGAGGATGAAGCTTAAGCTTCTCCGGTGTTCATGTGTTGCTGTGCGTGTGTGTGTGTATGTGTGTGTGTGTGTGTGTGTTTGGCTGTCTTGTCTTTGTGTGCTTGCACCTGCACGCGCTGATCTGTTCACCTGCTTCGCGTTGTCTCGTTTTATGTTAGAGCAACATATGTCATCGAAACCGTGACATTGTAACCAGCCCTGTGGGAGAAAACGAAGCAAGGCACCATCACCAAGCAAGTAACGCGGTGCAAAACAGTGCGAGGTGCAACGAAGGCGATAGTGGGAAGCAATAAACAACGTCCAAACACAAGCTCCAGTGCGTTGGCGAAATGAGTGGGGCCATGCACACACACACACACACACATATACACATACACACACACACACACACACACACACCATGTACCACATAAGTAGGAGTTTGTCCCTCGTAATACAAGATTACGATAAGTACCTTGCGTTGTACTCCTACGTCTCCGCCAACGCCCTGTGCCCCGATTTTACGCATGGAATACCCGGAACGGTTTCTGCGCCTTTTGCCGCAGTCTCTTGCCAAATCTGGCTAATTTCACAGCGCTGGGCATTATTACTGTACTCAGAGTCGCTAGGGAAACATCTGCACTAGCTTCGTTCCCGAGAGAAGACGTTGGAGTAGCCGAGAAGCCTTCCTTGTCGCAGAGAAATATCCCCACCGGGCCTTAGCTATAACAGCCGCCCGTGTTTCCCTGGTCGCGGCGGCTTTCAGGCTAAGTTCAATATCTAAATGGCATATTCTCTCATCGTCATCTTAAGCATAGCCTACGTTGAGTCGATCCTATGATTGATCAGGCCTTTGGCTAAAGCTTGTACCACAGCAAGGGTCCCAGTACACCCAGTACACACACACACTCATACAACATAACATACACACACACACACAACCTTCCCCTCGCAACACAAGCACACCACTATCGTCGCCTGAGGTAGGCGAGTATTTCCTTGTACTCTGGTTCCTCCACGGGAATCTCGCACGCCTTGAGCGTGGGGAACAGCCACTTCTTCAAGACGCCCTTTGGCGTGACGATGGCGCGTTCTTGGAGGTCCGAAGGGGTCACAGGTGGACCGAGGTGCGGTGCAAAGCAAGTCAGGCATGTTGAGAACGTCTGCTTGTCTCCAGACGCGCGTTGCACTTCGACAGTGTGGAGGCCAGAGTCCTTGTCAATGGTCACGTGTGGATTGGCGCCTCCAAGGGTGAGCTGTATCTTCTCCCGCAGGATGTCGTGCAGCTCTTCCTGTGTACGCAACGGTGTCTGCACCACGACAACCCAGAACACAAAACAGACCCATGCAGTGAGAAGCGTCAGAAGATACTGTCGTACGTGTACGCACACACACACACACACATACACACACACTCAGCGGCACTCGCTCTCTGGCTAGCCTCACGCACACGCATGTGCGCGTGCATGCTTGTTGATGCGTGCTTGTGTGTGCGTGCGTGCACCCAGTCAATGACACGACTCGTACCAAAGGGCCAAAGTCCTCGAAATCATCATATCCGTCATCATCATCATCATCGTCGTCGTCCACTGGAGAGGTCACCTCGGCTGCAGCAGAGTCTGGTGACTGAGCACTTGGCAGTTCATCCTGCTGTTGCTGAAGGGGGCGCGGGAGCAGCAAGTCCGCCTTGTTCAAACACAGCAAAATGGGCACCTGCATCCATGTCACGGGTGGTGGGTGACGAAACATCAATGCAGGTCTCAAAGTGGCCTTGAGATATTTGAGTTGCACACACACATTAACACACACATTCACACACACATTCACAAAACAGTTCGTACCTCTCGTCGGAGAGCTGCCAGGAGTGCGTCCTTGACACGTGCGGTGTTTGGCTTGTCTGCCTCAACGACGAAGATGCAGGCATCGACGATCGAATAGTGCGCAGCAAACGCCTCCTCGACCTGTAATTGGATGGATATGCAAAACAACCGAGATGTCGAGACATGTGAGGGAGCCAATACATACACCGCAACACGTCAAACGCTATTCGCCCCTTTCAACAACAACAACAACAACAACAACAACAACAGCAGTAGCAGCAGCAGCAGTAACAGCATCAACAACAACAGCAACAACAACATCAGCAACAACAACAACATCATCAGCAGCAGTAACTACATGGCACGCCGCACCTTCTTGGTTGCGTCGTCGCTGCCCGGGAAATCAACAAAGACAAAGTGCCGGGCGGCGGGCCACTTGTAGAACTCAATGCGCGTCGAGTTGACGGCGAAGTCGGGGTTGGACTTGAACTTGAGCCGAGAGAGGAACGTGCTCTGAAGTGAAGAACGAATGTCACGCATGACGCCAGGGTGGAGTGAACAAACGAGTGTTTGCAGGAGTTGGCAGACGCATTGGAAGCGACTCCCATGCAAGCTCATGCACACACGTGCACGTACACACAACACACACATACACGCACGCACGTACAAGCACGTACACACGCACACACACAAGCACGCACGCACGCATGTACACACACACACACAAACACACACACAAGCACACACCTTGCCCGTCTTGCTGGTTCCGACGACGCCAAACATAAACGTCCCTGCCATCAGTTCTCGCAGGCGGAAGATGAGCCAGACGTCGCGGAGGAACAGCAACGCCCGCTTGCGCGCTGTGTCGTCGTCTTTCACATTGAACAGGGGATCGCCTTGCTTGAGTTTGGAGAAGTACCTGGCCCGGAATTCCGCAGACATCAGGGCGGCTGGGTCGATGCTGTGGCCCACAATTGCTTTCATCTTCTGTGCAATCCCCTTCTGCACAATGGCCTTCTCAGCAAAGTACGTTGGATCGACCGGCAGATCCTCGTCCTCATCCAGGCCAAGAAGTTGAAGCATCAGCTGTTTTGGTACCATAGCAGTGGGTGATTTGCGTGTGTGCGCGTACGTTTGTGCGTGTGTACGTTTGTGCGTGTGTACGTTTGTGCGTGTGCAGTACATGTGTTGTGAGCGGTGTGGGCATGCTGCGAATGAAAATGCATTGACGTCCGTGTATGCACGTACACACGTCGTTTGTCGCATACCCACACACACACACACATGCACACGCAAACACAAACATCAACACACAAACATCAACACACAAACACACACACGCACACAAGTATGCCCACAACACCACACCTGAAGATTCTTCTGGTATTCCGCCTGATTCTCGTGGAGCTTGTTTAGAACATCCCCAAGTACTCCCGCAAGCGCGAATGCAGCGATGCTGCCTGTCAGCATGGTGAGGCCGCCAGCCTCTGCATACAGGAAGTAGATGCCCGCAAATAACCCACCAACCGAGAAGAAGGTAAGGCCAGCCATGATGATGGTGATGGCAGTGGTAAGCGCGACAATGCCAGGCCCCTTCTTAACAGCAATGTCTGGGTACCCCGTACGCGCGAGCACGTCCAGTGTTGACCACGAAACCGCCCGAAGCGCATCCTGTGCACACGTGCTCTTGTCGTTCCGGAACCATTCTGAGGCGCGTTGGTACGGCAGCCGTTGTTCGTGAACGTCTGTATGTGCTCCCCCAGCGGGCTGATCATACACCTGATGCTTGTGCACTGTTAGGTGCGCCATGAACCACGTTGAAAGTCGCACGAGGAACAATAACTGAGGTGAATTGACATCGATGCGTGCAACAAGAACAACACAAAAGCGCCTTCAAAGTGGAGTTTGCTGCACAAGCCTTTTGTTGCAAGAAATCGCCCACACCAGCTTCACGGCAACACATCGCACACACACACACACACACACACACACACACACACACACACACACACACACACACAAAATACACAAACAAACACATCCTCACCTGCATTCCTCATTTTGCCCGCCAAAGCCTTCGCGTCTGCGGTGTCCACTCCAAATACATGCTTGCTTGCGTCTGCCAGAGCACCTGTATCTTGGCCCTCGCCCTCTTGCTCCGCCATGACTTGAATCGCTTTTTGCAGTGGCTTTGTGCGCTCATCCTGGAACTTGAGTTCTTCGATCGAAATCGTGGAGCCAACGACTTCACGCAGGGCTGCTGCTGCCTCGTCCTTGCCCCTCTCCTGCCACCGTTTCGCAGCCGGTGTTACGTCGCCCTCCTCGAACTGCGCAAGGATCTGTAGCACCTCTTCTTGTTGCGCCTTGTCATCTGAGAACAGGGTGAGCAGGAAAGCCTGCAGAAGCAACATGCGAGTGTAGGTGAGGGCAGATGCGCCTGTCAGCATTTGAGGTTTGGTTCGTCCCACAGATCAGTGCAGCACACATAAATGCAGCACACATAAATGCACCACACACGCCTCCACACACACACACACACACACACACACACACACACACACACACACACACACACACACACACACACACACACACACACACACACACACACACACACAAACCGCAGCATACTTGGTTGATGACGTCGTGACGTGAGAGCTTTGCGGCCTGCGCCAGCTTGCCAAACAAGGGCAACTTTGAGAGTTGAGTGACATCGACACGCACTGTGCTCGCAGGCGCTGTGAATACGGTGTAAAGTCGCACATCAAACACGGCCTTTGCCTGTTGTGTCGTGCATGAAATCGTCACCTCCAGCCGCTTGCCGCCGTCAAGAAGCACAGGCGTGAACTTGCGCTTGTGGCCATCAAGGGAGCTTGTCGCGTGCGTGACAAACGCAAACCCGTCGCCAGTGAATGTAAGATGGTGCTGTTGGCTGCTGGCTGTCGACGTCGTGCTCGAGTGGTCTGACTGGAACGTCAACTTTCGAGGGGCGGAGAAGTCGGGATGCTGGGTGAATGTTGGGATTCGGGGCGTTTGCTGCGGATACCATGCGTGTCGATTCAAGTGGTGGCCCTGGCAATAGTGGTCCAGAAAGTGATGTTTGAGGAGCTCGGCCTTCAGCTGCGGAAGTGTGTCGTTCTTGAACAAAGCGGCATGAATCTCATTTGGGTTGTTGTATGGCTTCCATTTTGAGTCCTGAAAAATCAGGTACGTGCCAAAGGGCGAATAGTCGCACTCCACACATTGCTTCACGTGGGAGCCAAGACAGCTTGTAAGTGTCACCCAAAGGCTCCCCTTCGCGTTTTGCGAAATGACAGATGTAAGGCTGCCGAAGAATGAGCTGCGGCTCTCTGGCTGGCTGAAGGCCTTGTTGAGAACTTGCGCGACAAGTGATGACCTCTTAGAAGCGTCTGCTTGGGAGCTGAATGCACGCGTGAGCATGGTCAGCACGCGTGGGACAATGTCGTTGCTGTACACGTGGAACCGGCAGTTGCTGTGAGCCACGTCAGCACCACCAATCTCCCGCTCAAACTGCTGCGCGAAAGCACTGTCTCCGACAAGAGGTGCGCCAAATGTCATCACGTGCACGTTTCTGCGGTCGTCGTGCTGGTGGCACTCAAGCAGCACGCGCAACGCCACCAGCTGTGCCACCGCACCGCCGAGCGAGTGGCCGCAGAACACCAAGCGGTACTTCTTCCTGTCACCTGGACTCCCGTGGAGCAACCGCACAAATGGCTCGACGGGGATCTTCTCAGCCACGCGAAGAAAGCCCAGATGCACGCGGCCCTCGATGGCCTCGCTCATTGGAGGGACGGCAAACGCCGTCATGTCCGTCATGGCGTGTTGCAGCGTCTGCGTGCTCTGGAAGCAGATGTACACGGGGGTCGTGTCTTCGCCGTTGAGCGGATCGTCGCTGCCAAACGCGACGATGAAGTGGTGGCTTTCAGCAGCATTGCGTGTGAAGGCAATCTCCTTCAGCTGGTGGTATCCGCCGCGCTTGCCGAGGTTGTGGTTGAAATGCCGTTGAATTGCCACTTCTTGATTGCTGCCTCCGTTGCTCAGGCATTGCGCCAACAGGAGACACATGTCGGTGTCTCGACGGCGTATGACATCTGGAGGTAGCCTGGGCGCGTGTTGGAACACAAGCGTCGCAGGATGGCCTCGAACTAACCACACAGGTGCACAGGCAGCGCCATTGTGAGCGCGTCAAGACGATGTTCATAGCGTGCGTGGGCTGGTGGTAGGGAGGTGTCGATGACGGTTCATAACGTGGGTTGTTTGGGGGGGAGAGGCAGCACGATGAGGCGTCAGTAAGCATGAGATGAGCAACAATTGACTTACGCCTCTGCGCAAAGGTTTGGTCCATGAGACGGGCGGGAGTCACTGGTTGTGTGATCACGAAAGATGTCACAGTGTCACCTCCAACCGGAAGTACCTCTGTTGTCTCCACAACATCGTCTGCAACAACTTCTGCGAGGACATGGCCGCACCGCACGCCTTCTTCAAACATCCTTGAGCCTACCAAAGCAAGTGCCCAAGAGGAGTGCGTACGTGAGCAGAGAGAAGTGTGTACGTGAGTGCGCGGAGGACACAAGCCAATAGACTCAAGGGCTTGGAAAGGATACAGACAGACATGGGTCGGTGGCGACGTTCGCGTAAACCTGCACACTTTGAGCAATCACTGGCGTACCTTGATGGCAGAATGAGACAACGTGTCGCTCGCCGTCCTGTATCAGGCCAAACGTCGACACTGCCTGCTGCAGGTCGTTCACTGTCGCCTGCGTCACAGTCGCTCTGGTGGTGGACATGACGCTGTTTGTGGGTTTGTTTGGGTGTGAAGTTCGGAAAATTGGTTTTATTTTCAATGAATAATCGACAATCGGCGACAGTGCGCACACACACACACACACACACACACACACACACACACACACACACACACACACACACACAACAACAACAACAACAACAACAACAACAACAACAACAACAACAACAACAACAACAACAACAACAACAACAACAACAACAACAACAACAACAACAACAACAACAACAGCAGCAGCAGCAGCATCATCCTCAACAACATCCCGCCCTGTTCTTTGCCAGTGTCGAGTTCAGCAGCCAAGCAGGCGCAGACCGCTTCAACGAGCTCCGATCCACAGCGTTGGGTGGTGCACGTGCAGAGAGATTGAAAATCACAACCACAGTACCGCTGGCCTCCCTGACTGTGTGTAATGCAAACACGCTCATCTTGCACTCAATGTGCCAGAAGCTGGGTCGCATCACCTTTCGCGACGTTGGGCACATAAGATGGCTCAGCATGGCGCATGGGCAAACCACCCTCCAAGGCGAAGTGTCCAACGTCGGCGGCATCAACTTTCACGGCCTTGTCGAACTTGATGACTTTGCACTGTTTGCCGGCCTGCACTGCGTGAGGATCGCAAACCGACACGTGGATCTTGCGCCGTTTGCTGGCATCAACACGCTTGTGCTTGCGCGTGTGACTGTGGACGACCAGTCTGTGATTGCAGACGCGGAGGAGCTTCATGTCCACGAGGCGCCGCTTGAGACTGACACACTCAACGCCAAGCGCGTTACGCTGTCCTTTGTAAAGGGCGATGTGCCGGCTCGCATTCATCTTCCAAACGCCACCCACTTCGGGCTGGGGTACGGTTCCTGGAGTACGCACGTGAAGTTTGTGCTGCCGCCCCGCGTCGACACCATCACGATTCGAAGCGTGGACCTCAACATTCCACGGTTTGAGCACGCGCGGGTGCTGGACCTCGACTGCCGTGGCAAGGTCAATCTGTCTGCCTTGGCACGCCGCGTGGACAAGCTGGTGATCCGCAGCCCAGTCATGCTGCGCACCAGTGCAGATAATCCGTTGGGCCGCCTGCTGCCAGTGCCAGATGACGTGCACGTGTGCTTGGACGACCTCCGCATCGTCCTGACAGAGAGCAAGCTGCCGCCGTGTGTGAAGGAGCTGTCTGCAAATGGCCGTAGGATTGTCAGCAGACGCGAACCCGGCGCGTACCCGCGCGGCATCGTTACTCGCAAAGACGCTTCCAGCACGTGCTTGGCCAATGTCCCGCTGCTTTCACTCAGCAACTACCGCCTTGGCGACGTGGGCGCCCTGCGTGGGCGGCGGCAGCTTCACCTGGTGTGCGTGACGCTTGATGGCGAGATCAGCGACTGCAACCACGTGTCACTTCGCCGCTGTAACGGCTCGGCTGCTAACTTAAGCGGGATCACATGGCTGTATCTGGAGCGGGCCACGGTCATGGCAAGCGACGATGATGAGGACGTCGAGGAGGACAACGACGCCGATGACAATTCACGTGTTCCTCAGAAACCGGAAGCCCCACTGCGTGTGCAACGCATTCAACGCGTGTCCACGTGTCAACTTGGCGCCTGCAGCGTCACGGACTCCTCCTGCTTCCGCAATGTCCAGCGCCTCATCCTGAAACGGTGCAAGTTCGATGACCTGGGTGCGCTTACGGCGGTCGGCTGCCTGGTGGTCCGCGACTGTACCAGTCTTGGCGACGAGTGGGCGTGGCCAGATGCGGTGCTGGTGAACCGGACGCCAGAGGACATGATGGCCGTGCTGATGAGCGGCAGGATGGAGAAGGTGTGAGGGTGTGTGTGTGAGAGAGAGAGAGGGTGCCGGACACACACACACACACACACACACAGACGGGGGAAGGTGTGAGTGTCAGCGTGTGCGTTGAAGATTTGTTCCCCTTGCGCCTGGTTGAGCAGCTTGGCTGTGCCTTTGACCATTGCATTGTCGGTAAAGTGTTTGACAAGTTCATTGTGTATTTGGGCCGTGCAGCTTGCGTATTCTTGTGCACGATCACCAACAAAATCAAATCAGAGACACGCACCGCCAAAACGACGCACACCCGCGCTTCAAGACATGTCCACACCATTCACAGTACCAACAAGCATCGGCTGTCATTCGCATGTAACGAACGCATTGGCAATATGTAAAGACGCAAGAACACCGTAGCAACTCGCACAACCTGAACATCTTTCGGCAATCTGCTGCGTGAGGATGGGGATCGTGGTGGCGTACTTCACCGAAGCGAGACTGCCACACCTCACCAGAGCTAGACGGGGGAGGGCTGATTCTGGGTGTCCAAAAAAGGGGGTGCGACGCCACGAGCGAGTTTGCAGCTGGCGGCGGCGGGAAGTGGGTGCGAGATCAGTCTCGCCCCGCAGAGGCTGGGGACGTGTGTGCATGCAGTGCTGAGCAGAGGAAGCGCAGGATCAAGTTGCGACGAGCTGCAGAGGATTGGTGGGCTACTTGGGCGGACATGAAGCGGAGCAGGAGGTTGCGCTGTGTGGGGAGTTGTCGCTGTTGTGCAGAGGGGGTTGGGGGAGACTGGTGTTGTGAAGCTTGACGAATGAATTCCTGCAGACGCAGTGCAAGTAAATTCTGCTGCCCATCTTTGGTGTGTGGGTGGTCTGGGCCAAGCGTGTCCATCAAGATGTCGACAGCTCGTTGCATCAGCTGTTTCGCGCGGGCATACTCGTCCTTCCTGTAGTACAACCCACCCAGGTTGTTGTATGTGGTTGCTGTGTCTGGATGCTTCTCCCCCAACGTGTCCAGGCGGATCTGCAGGCACTTCTTGCAGTACTCCAGAGCACGGTCATACTCACCCTTGTTTTTGTACACCTGACCCAGGTTGTTGTATGTGGTTGCTGTGGGCAGATGTTTCTCCCCCAACGTGTCCAGCTGTATCTGCAGGCACTCCTCATAGTAGTGGATGGCGCGATCATAGTCGTCCTTGCTCTTATACACCCCACCCAGATTGTTGTATGTGGCTGCTGTGTCTGGATGCTTGTCCCCCAACGTGTCCAGTCGGATGTGCAGGCACTTCTTGCAGTACTCCAGAGCACGGTCATACTCACCCTTGCTCTTATACACCCCGCCCAGGTTGCCGTATGTGGTTGCTGTGTCTGGATGCTTCTCCCCCAACATTTCCAACTCAACACCCAGGCCTCGTTGAAGCAACTGCTCTGCTCTTTCGTGCTCTCCAAAGCTCTCCATGACCAGGCCAATTCTGTTGCACATGCGTGCAAACTCAGCCGAACTGTCTTTGCCGCCCATCTCCATCTCCTCCACGAACGACCTTGCCATCATCAAACACCAGGCGCGCATCTGTCCTTTCACCGCCTTGTTCACTTCAGCGAAGCCAACGCTGGTCTCAATCGCCTGGAAGATCATCCCCTTGTCGGCTGGTACAGTTGCACGCGCCTTCTCCGCTTGCACCTCAACCAGCATGTTGGTGATTGCCCTGTGGTCTTCGAGAACGGCTTCCCTCAGCTCCATGCGCTGGTGTTGTGGCAGCCTGATTTCCAACCCAACGTCGCTTTCCTGGCTGATGGCACAGAAGATCTCCCACAGGCACCACGCACGTGCCAGTGCGACGGGGTTGTTCCATGGCGTCAGCACCAGCAACACCTTGCCAATGGATGCAATGGCGCTCTTGAACGGGGCGCCAATCCTACCATAACGTGTGTGTGTGTGTGCGTGCGTGCGTGCGTGCGTGTGTGTGCGTGCGTGTGCGTTAAGGTGGCAAGATGAAATGCACACGTCTGGTAAAGCAACCTGACACACACGCACAGACCCACACACGCACAGACACACACACACACACACAAACAAACAAACAAACAAACAAACACACGCAACTCACTGTTCTGGCGTCAGGCCCTGAAGCGCTTCCTTGTGCTGGTTGTTGTAGAAAAGGTCAAACCAGAAGAACGTCTCTTGCTTGCTGTGCTTGGTTCCATCTTCATCTTTGTGCTTTCTCTCTTCCTCCTCCTCGGCGTACTCCAGCATGGTAGTGAGGACGTCGGAGATCTTGTACTGCCATGCGTGCGACACGAACACAGTGGCTGGTCCCACTTCCTCAGGCTTTGTTCTGCGCAGCAGGTCGATGTACGAACACCTCCATTCCTTTGTCTTGTGGATAACAGGCTTGACACTCGCATCGTACGTCGTCACCTCCTCATAGTTGTTGGGGTGATAATCCTTGATCTGCGACATGAACCGCTTGATGGCAGAGGTGCTCACGCCATCCGTGCAGATGGGCGCTGCTGCTGTTGTGGTTGCAGTGCTTGCAGTTGTTGGCTGTGGCGTGGAGGACATTGTCGCAGGCGGTGTTTGTTTGTCGACGGAAGGGTGAGTGGCAGGGATGTTCGACTTCTGCTGCAGGTGTTCTTGTGGATGAATGAATGAACTCTGCTTCTCTGCTTCGCTGAGTCTGTTGAGCACACGTTGATTGACAAGAAAAGCACTGCTCCTCTGCGCTCGGCACTGTTCCTGGCAAGCAAGCTTCTGTTGCTGGCAAGCCAGGCGAAATGACGCACAGTCACATTCTCCAACTTTTGCGACGCAGCGTCCCAAGCAAACTGTCGCTGCGTGAGCAATCAATCCACTCAAACACAACAGGCAAATTGAGGCATTCAGAAGAGGAAAGTGTTTGGGCCCGTACCATCCAGTTGTTTCTATTGCCTCTTGTGGCTGTTGTGCAAATTTTCCACGCGGAATCAAAAGAAAAACAAAAACAAAACACAACAACAACCGCCACAGTTGCAGCGGACACTTGCCTGCTCCATTCACAGTTGGTGTGTGGTTGTGCTGTGGGTCTTCTTGGCGTGTGCTCTTTAGCTGGCTTCTTTGGGGCGAGCAGTGGCCGACCCTGGTCCGCTGGTGCTGGGAGGAGCAAACTGTGTTGATGGGCAGGTCATCCCTTGAGATGCAGTCTTGCAGTGGCCTGCGCAAGAGAGCTTTGCGTCCAACTGCTTCGACGTTGTTGAGTAGTTGAGTGCCCGCTTGCCCGACTCCCCTCCCTTTCCCACGTACACTGAGCTTTGACGTCGCTATGCACAGCTCAGTGTGTCCGTGGTGGCTGGCCGACGTCATGCATCAAAAGAGCGTTTCCTTTCACAATGACGACAACTCCCCAAGCTGGCAATGCATGCCATGAACCCGCTAGACGTTCAAGTGGACTGGAAGGAGGTGGACGGCACAGAATCACTTCAGCAACACAGCCACGGGAAGACGAGAGGCGCATCATCTGGTCGCCCTTGATGAGGAGGTGTACAAGTGTACATACTCCCTCGCAGCCTGCATTCAGCAGAGTGCTTGCTCCTCAGCTGGCCGGAGCCTGCTGCCAATGCTGGATAACTGCTCAACTGCTTTCTGTTCGTTGCTGGCGGGGACGACGACGATGCGTTGCAGACCACACTCGAGACCGAGTCCGTGCCATACACCAGCAAGCATGACAGCTGGCTTACGGTTGGCTGGTTGGTTGATTCGGCACGACTTTTCCTTCTTTTTGCTGCGACTAACAACCCACCTCACAGAGCAAGTTGTACAGCCAGCTCAGCCCAGGTGGTGATGACGACCTCTGAAGACGTTGTGCACGGGAGGAGGGGGAGGGAGCGCTGGCTGGGGTTGTCGGGTGTTGTTGATGTGTGTTGTTGTTGCAATTGTTGTTGTTGATGCGCCAATACAGAGCAACAACATTTATTCATGTTTATTCATTGCGTCTCGTATGGATCAAAGCCTCGCGAAACTCTGTAACAAAAAGAGGGAAGTGAAGCAGAAGCAAAGATACGCACCCCTAACGCACCCATCCACACCCACACGCACCCATCCCACACCCCCACACACCCCAACCCCCCGTCCAACCCTCCTTCCCCTCCCTACACCCCATCTCCCCTCATCAACACCCGGGATCCACAGCAAGCACAAACTCCTCGTTGTACGGCACACCAAAAATCACCTCACCACCACCACCACCAGCACCACCAGCACCGTCCACAAGCACACCACCTGCCCACTTGAAGGCGCCCTCGTTCACGGGCAGGGATGTGGTGTCGGCCGTGTTGGTGGATGGGTCGATGATGAGCACGGCTTCGCTGGTGAAGGGGACGCCGAAGATGAGGCCGTTGGACGCCAGCACGCCGTCCAGCCACATGTAGACTTGGTCCACTGCGTTTGCGTTGGAGAGGGTGATGGTGGTGTTGTCGGCCGTGTTGGTGGCCGCGTCCACAATGAGCACGGATGACGCTGACAAGGGCACGCCGTAGATCTTGCCGCTACCGGCAAGCACGGTACCGGCCCACTTGTTGTCGCCAAAGTGCCCCAAGTTGGCGATGGTGGTGATGTCGGCCGTGTTGGTGGCCGGGTCGATGATGAGCACGGAGACCGCGGCCCTCGGTATGGCGTAGATGCGCCCGTTGTCTGCGAGCGCCGCGCCGTACCACTTGTACTCGCTGTCGCCGAGGCCCGTGATGGTGGTGGTGTCGGTTGTGTTGGCGATGGGGTCAATGATGAGGACGGAGGACGCCTTCAAGGGCACGCCGTAGATGAGGCCGTTGCGCGCGCGCACGCCGCCGCCACCCCACTTGCGTGGTCCGGCGGGCAAGTCGCCGAGCGTGGTGACGTCCGTGGTGTTGGTGGCCGGGTCGATGATGAGCACGGTCGTCGCTGATGCGGGAAACGCGTAGATGCGGCCGCCTGGCCCCAGCACGCCGTTGGCCCATTTGCTGGCCTGTGGCGCGATCCCTGTGACGGGGAATGTGGCCGTTGCGCGCGTGGCCGGGTCGATGACAAGCACGGACGGCGCGTAGAACGGGGTGCAGTAGATGCGGCCGTTGTCTGCGAGGACGCCGCCGGCCCACTTGCTGCCGTCGCTGGTGAGACTGCCGGCTGTCGCGTCCCTGTCGATGACGGACGGAGGGCACACTTGGTGCGCCAGCGAGGCGATGGCGGACCGTTGGGCGTCGATGCGCGTGCGCTGCGCCTCCAACGTGCGGTGCTGCGCCTCGATGATGCTCTGCTGCGCCTGCAGGGCCCTGCCAACATCCACGCCGTTTACAAACACGGGCTGCAGTGTCGCATTGCTCGTGTTCACATGCAGCGCACCCGCTTCATCCTCTACCAGCACAACCTCGCCCAGTGACAGCCCGCTCCAGCATGACACAACAACAAGCACCACCACTACCAGAGCGTGCGTGATGATGGCGGTTGGTGCGAACGGCGTGGTTGGTGGTGGGTGCGTGTTCGTCTTCATCTTTGCCATCTGCACCACCATTCCTGAACATTTGCAATGACACCGGCGACTTTTCCAAAATATTTCCCACCACACAACGACAACAAACTCCACCCACATCAACAGACAACCTTCCACACACCCACCTTCCACACCTTCACCACCTCCCCAACGGGATGCCGTCGCTGTTTGGGAAGCTGTTTGGTGGCAAGCAGCGACGCTTGGAGAAGGCGCTGGCCAACATTGACCAGACGACCGACCCTTCCCTCTTCTGGAAAACTGTCGGCGACCTCGGCGAAGGCACCTTTGGCACCGTGCACAAGGTATTGATGTGCGCATTTGGGTGGCACGTTGCTGCTGTTGTTGTTGTTGTGTGTGTGTGTGTGTGTCTCGCGTCTTTGTTGCCGTTCTACTTTCCCGCTTCCAAGTCCCAGCATCACTCTACTGCTTCTTCTTGTTCCAAGTACCAGCGTGTCACTGTTGCTTCGTTCTTCCTCTTGTTGCTGACTCCTCTGCTGCTTCGCAAATGCTCGGAACCAAAACGTGAACCGCAGGTCAAGCATGCGGAGACGGGCGAGTTTGCGGCCGCCAAAATCATCCCCATTGAGAGCGAGGAGGATCTCTTTGACTACGCCGTCGAAGCGGACATCTTGCTGGAGTGTCCTCATGAGCACATCGTTGGTCTGCGCGGCGCCTACCTGTGGAAATCCAAGCTCTGGGTGGGGCCGCTCGTACGTGTGTACTGTGTGTGTGTGTGTGTTGGTGTGTGTGTGTGTTGTGTGTGTGTGTGTGTGTTGGTGTGTGTGTGTGTGCGCGCGTTATTTGTGTGTGTGTGTGTTTGTGTGTGTTTGTGTGTGTGTTGTGTGCGCGTTATTTGTGTGTTTGTGTGCGTGTTATGTGCACGTGTTGCGTGCACTCCTGACTGGCTGCGTGGGTGCAGTTATACACCAGCCACTTGCGCGTTGCTCACGACCGTGACTACCTGATCCGCAACACCAGATTGTCATGGAGCTGTGCGAAGGCGGAGCGCTGGACGACGCCCTCATCGGTGTGTGTGTGTGTGTGTGTACGTGTTTGATGAAGTGTAGTTGCTTTGGTTATTGACAAGGGCTCCTGCGCGTGGATGACGCTGTGGTGCGTACGCGCGCTTCGCTTCCTTCGCCATTTGACTCACTTTGCACCGCCTGCCAGAGTTGGAGCGCGGCTTGGAGGAGGCGCAGATCCGCGTTATCACGCGCCAACTGCTGCTGGTAAGGGGTGTGTGGGGGAGAGTGAGGGGATGCCAGTTGTGTGTTGTGGAGAGATGAAAGACATGTCACTATGCTCCTGTGTGTCCTTGTGTCAGCCCCTCACACACACACACACACACACCATCACACACACACATCAACACACACACACACACACACACACACACACACACACACATCAACACATCAGGCGATTGCGCACCTGCACGGGTCAACGGTGATCCACCGTGACCTCAAGGCCGGTAACCTCCTCCTCGACAGAGACGGCAACATCAAACTCAGTGCGTTGGTGCCGTATTGGGAGCAGGGCGGTGTTGGTGGTTGTAACAGGTGTTGTGGCGTAGTGGTGGCTGCAGTGTGCGAGCGCTTCTCGAATGTTTCATCCAGCCATCGCTCCCCACCACAACGCCACTCACTCACTCGCTTTCTTATCATCCAATCCATCTCACCCCCTCACCACCATCCGCCCCCCAAACCCATCCTCCCATCCCCTCGTCACTGTGTGGCCGCTGCAGCCGACTTTGGGGTGTCGTCATATCGCAAGAAGCAGAGCGACTCGTTCATCGGCACCCCATATTGGATGGCGCCCGAGGTCATCATCTGCGAGAACATCCGCGACCGCCCGTACAACGCCAAGGTCACTTGCACTGTGGCCGTGGATGGTGGTGGATGATGGTGGTGAAAGGGATCGTGGGTGCCACCAATGCGTTGTTTGTTGTGTTTTGTTGTGCTGCTGTTGTTGTGTTGTGTCGCGGAAGCGTGGTATGCTGAGGCTTTGCAATGTACTCACATGCCCCCCTTCTCCCTCCCCCACCCCACCTCCCAGGCTGACATCTGGTCGCTTGGGATCACGCTGATTGAGCTTGCGGAGACGAGCCCGCCCTATCACGACATGCATCCGATGCGCGTCCTGTTCAAGATCCCGAAATCAGCGCCGCCCACCCTCAACGAGCCCCACCTCTGGTCCGCACAAACACACACGCACACACACACACACACACGCACACATACACATTGGTGGTTGTAGTTGTGTAGGTGTGTGTGTGTGTGTGTGTGTGTGTGTGTGTGTGTGTGTGTGTGTGTGTGTGTGTGTGTGTGTGTGTGTGTGTGTGCGTGCGTGCGTGCGAGAACAACCATGGGTCCAGCTATCGTTCATTCAAACTTGACGCACACGTTCAATCCCAATCACGCACGCCAACCACTTTGCCCCCCCCTCCCCACTCCCGCCACGCGTTCAGGTCGGCCGAGTTTTCCGATTTCCTGCAGTCGTGCCTGCACAAGGACCCAAGCGACCGCCCCACAGCTGAGGAGCTGCTTGCACACCCGTTTGTGCATGACGCAACAGACAACCGTCCATTGCGCAACCTCTTCAAGCTGCTCAAGGCTGACGGTGAGGTGGTGGCACTGGTGGTGGTGGTGGTGGTGGCTGTCATCGTTTGTTGCTGGAGTTGTTGCGTGAGCTGGAGGGATGCAAGGCATGTGTGTGTGTGTGTGTATGTGTGTGTGTGTGCGTGTGTGTGTGCGTTGATGTGAGAGCTTGCGGAGCCCCATATTCATCTCACAAACACACCATTCACAAACACACCATTCACAACCACACACGCACATCTAAACGCACACCAGTGGTTGAGACGATTGAGGACCTGAGTGCGAGTGCGACGGCCAAATTGGCGGAGAGCAACATCCGCCACATGCAGCAGATTGCACAGGCCGCCAGGAACAGGGAGGTGAGGCTCGACATGTGGTGGTGGTGGTTGTGGTGGTTGTTGAGATGCACATGCGTCCGCGTCGCATCCACCACGGTTCGTCCATGCACACACACACACACACATGCACACACACACACACACACACACACACACACACACACACACACACACACACACACACACACACACACACACACATGAATCGTCAGGAGGGCGCTGCGACGCCGCAGCCAACACGACCGGCACCGCCGCCACCAGCGGGACCGCTCGCAGCAGCAGGCGGCTCAGACACAACCAGCGACACGACAGCAACGACCGTGGCCAAGGGGGCGCGGAGTGGTGATGATATTGGTGATGGTGATGGTGATGGTGATGGTGAGGATGAGAGGGAGTACGGGTTTGCGGAGCAGAAGGCCACGCAGGAGACAGGTGGGCAGAACGCGTTGTATGTGTTTGTGTTGTTGTTAGTGTTTGTGGTTGTTGGTTGGTGTTGCCGTTGTTGTTGTATTCGCCTGTGGTCGTTGCTGCTGTCGCCTGTGGTTGTTGTTTCGGTGTGCCCCGTCACGTTTCAATTCAAGAACAATGACAGCACCACCACCACCACTCACCCTCGCCACATCCACTGCCCCCTCTGCCCCACCAGCCCCCGCCATCACGGTTGACGAGACCGCAGCACCATCGTCGTCATCGTCGACAGCGCCGCAGTCGTCGTCTGCAATGGGCGACTCATCGGCCACAGATGCTTCGCTATTGGTGAGATGAAGGGTGGTGCTGTGGTGATGGATGGTGTGGCGATCTGCTGTCGTGTGTGGTGTGGTTATAGATGGTGTCGTGATCTGCTGTCGTGTGTGGTGTGGTGATAGATGGTGTCGTGATCTGCTGTCGTGTGTGGTGTGGTGATAGATGGTGTCGTGATCTGCTGTCGTGTGTGGTGGCGACATGTGCCTTGTGGTGATGCAGACTGTCGTTGCGTCTTCTCTTTGCTCATTCCCAACACGTTCTTTCCCCATCCCCTTTCCCAAACACAACACTCGCAATTCTGCTCACCATCGCTGCCAGTCTGCTGGGGAGGACGGCAAGAAGTTCAAAACGCTGACGAAAACGCGGACATTTGTGAACGAAGACGGACAGGAGGTGACATTCACCACCAGCCGCATTGTTGCCACGTCACGCCCGCACGGATACACCATGAAGGGGAAGCCGGGCATTTCCTCCAAATACGCCGTGCGTTTTTGCATTGCGTTCGATGAGAGAGCGGTGGGGCTTTGTGATGGAAGGGTACAGGGTGCACTGTGTGTGTTGTTTGCCCGTACACATGTGCGTGTGTGTGTGTGTGCGTGCGCGAACATGTGCGCGTGTGTGTGCGTACACATGTCCATGTGCGTGCATGTGAATCGACCGTGGCATCAGCACGCTCCCTCACCATCTCCCTCACCATCTCCTCAACCATACCCCCTCCCTTTCCACCCCCCCCCCCGGTCACCGCCAGGACTGGGAGCAGACGGATGCGCAGAAGACGGCGCTGCTGCGGAATCAGCAGTTGCGGGAAATGCGGCAGCTGCGACGCGAGGAGACGAAGGAGACAAACGAGCTCGTTGCCCGCCTCAAGGCAGAGCGCGAAACAAACGTGCGATTTGTGTGTGTGTGTTTGTGTGTTTGTGTGTATGAATGTGTGTGTGTTTGTGTGTGTGAATGTGCTTGTGTGTGTGTGTGTGTTTGTGTGTGTGTGTGTGTGTGTGTGTGTGTGTGTGTGTGTACTACGTTAGTCGCGTACGGTTA